TGTGCCATGCTCCTGCTCGCTGCTGTCGCAGTGCGGGTGGCTTCCCACTGGCCGTGTTGCCTGTTTGTTGTGGGGCGTCTTTCCCCCCCCCCCCGGGGCGTCGGGGTGCTGCTCCTGTCTCCACGCGGCAGGGAAAGGCAAGCGAGCATCCTGTAGAGGCGGGTGCCCTGTGCCTTAATGCGAGTGAACCACCGCCCCTGAGGATGGGAAGTGCTCAGAGTGTCACTTGCTCCAGGTGGGACCGTGGGTCTGTCCAGTCCTACGTCTCCAGTCTTCCTAGTCTATGTGCCTTGGCAGGCAACTGACCAGTCAGCCAGTGAGTCGGCCTCGCGCCTTGCGAGCAACTGCCATTGCTTGCACGCCGAGGGGTGACGGAGCTGGTGCCCTCGGGGCTCTCGGGGCCTCACGGTCTTTGCTTCCTCAGCGAGCCGCGTTGCCAGGGGCTCCCTGAAGGCACAGCGTGCGGGAGCCCACTGCGCCCCACACCAACCCCTCCACTGTGAACGGCCGCAGGCTTTTCCTCCTGCTTGCTCAAAAAAAAAACCTAAGCATACGGGTCCCCGGTGGCCACCGGGCGTGTGTGCCCTGGTGCAGGGAGGCGCTGGGCTCCTGTGTGGTCCGCGCCTACCACCGGCCGTTTTCATTGCCCCCTCGGTCCCCGGCCTGCCTTGGTGGTGCGCTCTCGTCTCTCACGGTGGATCGTCCGGCCCCGACCCAGCCCTGAGACTGGGGGACTCCGCGTTGTTCACGTGACTGAGCACGTATAGCACTTGGGCCCACGGGCAGGAGTTCACTGCCAAGCCAGAGAGGCAACGGCACGGCCCTGTTTTTCGAAAAGGCTCATAGGCCCTCTGTGGCAGGAGGCACGGCTGTGCTCTGGAACCCGCGCCACCACGGCTGCGACTCTCCGGGCTTGGGATGGATGGAGTCCACGACGCACTCTCGACAGCTCGGGACAGCTAGCCATGTGCTGGTGTGGGCCCAGATGGCGCTGCGAGCGCTTGCCGGGCCCTGAGCTGGCGCACCTGCCTCACCTGGCCACCGGCATCTGCGTTGCCCGGCGTTTCTTAGCTGCCGTGCGAGGGTCACCTCCAGAATGCAGACCTGCAGGGCACCGCACCTCCGTCCTTTGCTCCTAGCTCTGGAGGGGCGTCACAGCAATCCGGAACCGCAACAGTAACGGGACAAGTCCCTGCATGTTCGAGGTGGCGCGTCTCCCACCTGTCCTGCGGAGGCCTCTGGATGCTTCTCTGCCTCGTCAGGCACGGATGTTTCGTGGGACTGCTGCGCAAACCTTTGGACCGATGAACAGGGTTGGAGAGCCAACACGCTGTGTGGTGAGACTGAGGCGCACTGCTCTTCCTCCGCTTCGTGAAGGCAGCTGGTTGGGTTTCTGATCCTCTCTCTTCATGCAGGGATGGGATAGGACACGTTGGGAGGTCGTGTGTCGGGCAGCACGGCAGCTGACGGCGTTGAGAATCGGTAGTGAGTCTGGCTCTGACGAGAGGTCTGTGCTCCAGCCCCACGCCTGTGGAGCCAGGGGCTCGCACTGCTTTGTCGAGTCTTAGCATGGTTACAGTCTCTTCTGCGCGGCGGTATGGCGTCTGCAGGAGGCCAGGTGCCAGGCCCAGGCTCTTTGGTAGTCTCAAGTCCTACCTTTTGGTGGGACGGGCAGCGAGGGCACTTTCAGAGCTTCTGTTCACCTTCCCGCTGACTCCGATTGGCCCCACGACCCCAGTGGGTACTGCACGGACTGCCCGGCATGTCAGTCCTATGTTTCCACTCATGGACCATGGAACCAACCCCGGATGGGTCCACAGGGAGTTTCTACCGTAAGGCAGACCTATGTCTAGGACTTTGCACAATTGCCTGAAGCCCAAAGGCCGCCACTCTGGGAGAGGACGTGACGACACTTTGGGTCACCAGGTGTCAGTGTGTGACAGACTCTGTTCATCATACCTTAAATGGCCTGGGGATTGCCTTTTTGCCCAGTGGAACAGCACTTAAGTAAATGTGAGCCGGTCCCTTTCGGGTCGCAGACTGGACGATTATCACAGTGTATACTTGCCCTGCGGGTTGTGGGTTCCTGTCTCCGGGCTCTGACCGTGTTACGGTCAGTGGGCCTCCAGGTCTGACACTGGCTCGGGTGTGGACTGGATGAGGGGTCCTGACTTGTAAGGGGCTGGCCTCCCTCAGCCTCCTGCTCATTCACTCCCATTTCCTTTGAATATGCATGTGCATTGCATGACACGGGCATGCACGCACACACGTGTTGGGCAGACGGAGCTCTCCATGCACGCCTGCCCGTTCTGGCCCCAGGATCACCGTTTCTATTACTGTCTCCACGGCGCTCTGCCGGGTGAGCTTCCTCGGCTGGCACTCTGGCCTCGCTGGTCATCATGATAATCGCCACCCCCTGGCTTCTGGCAGTTATGTACTGTCACCCGGCCATGAGTGCTTCGGGGCCAAGTTTCACTGCCTGAGTCAGAGCTGCCACAAAGCTCGTTATTCGTTATCAACAGGCCACGCTCTGTGCAGCCTCTCCTACGAGTGCAATTACAGAGAGTCATCTGGCAAGTGAATGTTCGCCTGCAAATGTGCTTTCCAAAATGTGTGTACTATTTCATGCTCTTTTTAACAATCTGTGAGAGATCCAGTTGCTCTATATTTTTGCCAATACTTGGTATTGTTCGTCTTTTTAGAATTAAATGTTAGCCACTTTAGGAAGATGTGTTGGTTTCCTTTTGCTCCTCCAGTTACTAACAGACAGTGTGGAGCGCCTTCTCCAGTGCTCATTGACCATGTGCGTGTTTTCTTTTGCGAAGCATCCGATTCAGTCTTCTGCACTTTAAAAAAAACCGGGTTGTTTTATTATTGTTGTTGTTAAGTTGTAAGAGGTCTTCATATATTCTGGATACAGGCCCTTTGTCAGATACATGTATTAGGAATATTTCCTCCCAATTTGGCCTATTTTTTAAACAGCATCTTCCCAAGAGCGGAAGTTTTTCATTTTGATGAAGTCCAACTAATAGTGCCTTGTGGCGAATAGAAGTTCGTAATATAATGTGGTCTATGCCACCAGTCTTTTTCTTTATAATTTGCTTTTTCCTCTCCTGCCGTTTAGGAATTTTTGCTTGACTCAAGGTCGTGAGGATATTCTATTATATATTCTAGAAAAGATTTCTATTGTTTTCTTTTACATTTCATCTTCGGTCTGTCTGGAATTAAGTTTTGAATATGTCGTTGAGGTAGTCTATGTTTATTTTTTCATACATATACATTTGATCCAGCATCATTTATTGGAAAGGACATCCTTTGTCCACTCTAATGCAGTGGCCTTTTTGTTGTAATCAAGTGACCGTATTTGGAAGGTCTATTTTGAGACACATTCTCTTCCTCTGGGCTGCTTACCTATCTTTGTACCAATACTACACTGATATCTGGTTTATGAATCATCCAAGTTTGTTATTGTTCTTCATGACTGTCCTGGTATCTGGGTCATTCCCATTTCTATGCAGATTCTATAGATTTGTAAGCAGATTGTTGATTTCCACCAAAAACGCCTGCTAGAACTTTGATTCAGGCATGTAGACTCTATATAATACGAAATCTCCCAATCCATGAGCATGGTATATCCCCTCCATTTATTTAGCTCTTTAACTTTTCTCAGCAGCATTCTTTGTTTTACCATTTATGGGTTTTTGTGCATCTTCAGTTTGAGTTATTATTGGGTATTTGATTTTTTTTTAATGCTATTGTTAACGTCATGTTTCAAATATCATTTTCTAAGTTTTTGTTGCTAATATATAGATATCCAACTGATATTTTATATCAAATATATTGCTTATACTCAGTAGTTTTGCTGAATTTCCTGTTTTATTTCTAATAATCATTAGCAAGTAATGATATTTTTATTTCTTCCTTTCCTATTCTTATACTTTTATTTTTCCCTTGCCATACTGAAGTGGTTATACTTCTAGTATGATGTTAACTATATCATACGAGAACATCATACTAGAATGATCATACTAGGAGTATGATCATTCTAGATCATACTAGGAGTAGTAGTGCAAAGCATTCGTATTCATTCACATTCTCAGGGGAAAGCATTTAGTCTTTCACCCTCAACTATTATGTTTGCTGTAAGACTTTCCCCATCCCTCTTTTTTTGTTCTTTTCTTTTTTCTGACTTTTTGTTTTTGATGATCTCTGTATCAGAGTAACTTTTCTTGTAACTGCCAGCTCACCAAGCTCCTTACAGTTACAGGAAAAGTTACTTTCTTGATATCTGAATAGAATTCTCCAAAGAAGGAATTTGTTCAGTGGGGAGTCTTCCATATAACAGCAATTTTTATTGCTCCCTACCTTTGTCATTTTGTGTATTTCATTCATTTTGTAATTCAGCCAAAATTTAGTTCTCCAGTTATTAGTTCTAACACTTTTCAGATTAGACCTTTCTTTTTCTGTCATTTATAAAGATCAACATAGTCTTTGCCTCTGTTGGGTTAATGTTCCAGGCATTCATGTCTTGTTTCCAACTCAGAGTTGCCAACTTTCTTTTTGGTTATTTTTATGTTTCCAAGACTGCCATTGCCAGGCTCATAGGCTCTGCAGAAAGACTGTGTAATTGAAAATTTCATTAAAAAAAAAAAAAATCTCATGTAGACAGAAACCATTGTGCACTCCATTTTTGTAAAGATGGAAATAACGTCATATATATATGATATATATGATTCTTTTTGTTTAAGCCACAATTACATATTCTTTTAGACCTAACAGGGTATATAAAAGGAGCACTGAATTTGGAATCAGAAAACTCTGGTTGAAAACCCAATTCTTCTACTTATTATTATTTGATCGTGGGTAATATTTGTTATAATAATAATACCCACAAAGCTAGACAATTTGTCATGTGTTTACTGCTGTACTTCTTGGTTGATTAGTTGATTCTCTCTGATTGAAGGACTATTGTAGCTAATAAGTGATACATTTTCAAATGTGATATAAGGTCATTCTCCTTTTATAATGCCGTGTTTTTTTTTTTTTTCTTAGTTCATGTGTAGGAAACACTACTTATAGGTTTTTTTTTCTTTGTTTTAACATAGTATTTAATACTTTTTTATTCTTCATTGGATATCAGTTGAGAGTTTACTATTGAAACCTATTCATTGTTTCATAATTTTTTAAAGGCTATCTTTAAAGGCAGAAGTTGTTTGTCAATTTATCAGTTTATATGCAATTTAAAACTAAATGGAAAGCAAATTCTAAAAGGATTTATATTTAGGAATTTAATGTTGAACCTATTTTTTAAAAAATCTGTCACACTGAGAAATTTTCTAGAGGGGCAGAGAGACCTAGCGCCTTGTACCTTCCCTGGAAACAAGTGGCTCCCTCCACCCAGTCTTTCTTACGTAAGGTTAGTTTCTTTATCCACAGAGCAGCTTTTCTAGGTGCTCCAAAACGCACACATTCCTGGAGCATCTTAAAAATGAAGAGTGTTGAGACTCTGGGAGACAGAGGGGCAGACTGAGCAGCCAGCAGCAGAACTGAGAGGACAGCCGATGTCTCTGGGAGCATGCACCGTGCTGGCATGGCCAGTGACACTGCAGAGCGCTGGCTGTCCCCTGGCCTGCCAGGCCTGGGAACAAAGCGCGTGGGCCTCAGCCTGCCGACCGCTCAGTGGCTTTGCCTCTGCTCCCAAATGCTCATCGCCTTGGGTAGAATGCGGCAGGATGACACTAATGACTGCATTTTCAAATGGAGCATCTCTCAGCGTGCTTAATACCCATTTAAGGTGGCCCCTAAAAGCCGTGCAGAGAGACCCCGTTTAATGCCAGCCTCAGACACAAACCGTGTGCGTGGCGATTATACCTCTCGCCCCCTGTTTTGCTCCCTTTTTTTGAAGAACTGTTGAAGAAGAACGGAAGGAAATCGATTTTGAGGAAATTAAATTTCCTTCTGAAACAGAATGACAGTTTCTGAAACAAGGAGAAAGTGGGTTAACTGGATGCTAATTATGAGCCGCACCTCGCTCTGCTTGCTGACTCTGGTCTGTGTCTTCCTCTTCCCTCTGCCTTTGCTGCCTGAGATTTTAAATATTTTAAAGAGCAGATGTGCCCCGCGTATGAATGTGTGTGCGTGCTGGCAATGCCTGCCGACGGTGGCTACACACCGCGCGCTGTTGACATTATCCTCTGTTGCTCAGCTTCAGACAGTCGAGTCCTGACATGTGCAGCCGTGTGGAGGATGCCGAAGGAATTGGAATCAGGCAGCCACGAGTCCCCTGATGATTCATCAAGCACCGCACAGACCCTGGAGCTGCTCTGTCACCTTGACAACACAGCCCATGGCAACATGGCCTGGTAGGATTTTGCATATTTTCTTTGCCCAGAACAAGCCTGAAGGTTGGACAGGTGCTGGAGCGTGTGCAGGTTCCTATTGCAGATGCTCACACACGCTTTTAAAATGCTCCTTTCTCTTAGAAGCTGCTACAAGTTGATTGTTTCAGCCCCAGTGTTTTCTAGATCACCCCCATCTACAGAAGCCACCCAAATGCGTAGCAGGAGAGCGTCCAGTTCTTCCTCCTCTTTGTCTAAGACAAGGGTTGCCCACAGCTCCCTGACGCAGTGACAAAGCCACCAGGCCCTGGCTAGCTAGCACTTGAGTCGTATGCGGCTTTTCAACTTCATAACTGCACTTTTATTCAGCACTTGTGCATAAATTATTTGTCACTTCAGGTTGAAGGCTCATGGTTTCTTCCTCCTGCAGACTAAGCATGAGCACACCGTGTGCACGTCTGGCTGTGTCCCCAGGCCCTCCCCATTAGTCATGCAGGGTGTCAAGGGACAGAGAGATGTGACCACTGCTCAGGGGGCTCCGGCCCGGGTGGCTCAGTGTGGCTGGAGGGTTTGCTGTGCCTGCCCACTGGCTGCTCCCAGGGGCCCTCTGAGCAGCGGCGCTGGTGCATCTCTGGAGTCCGGAATCCTGGGTGTGGCGTTGTTATGTGTGTTTACAATAACAGTGATTATTGTTTCACTTAATACAATAACCGGTCCACGCCTGTGTGTGCGCATGCACGCTCGTGAGTGTGTGCATGTGCGTGTGTGTGCTTGCATTTGTGTGTGTATGTGCGTGTGTGCACGTGCATTTGCATGTGTGTGTGCACGTGTGCATGTGCGTGTGTGCGCATGCGTGTGTCTGCAGGAAAGAGACTCATGTTCTCTGTCCAGTCAGTTCTGTCTTAGTCAACTCTACCAATTAAATGAATTTAATCCAACCTGATACTGATTAGCACTGCTGCACTCACCTCCCAGGGGCTCCAGGTGACACATCAGGGGACCTGTCCTCGAGGAGGCGTGATCTCCAGGGGAGGCACAGAGTGTAAACAGCTCTCCGTGGCGGCCGTGCCGTGCCTGCCGTGCACTGAGCCATGATGAACCGTGTGCTCTGCCCAGAGGGCGCAGCAGTTAATTGCTAGAGGAGCTGGAGAGGGGTCACTGAGGTGCTATTTGGAACGGGGACTGAGCACCAGTCCAGGTTTCCGTCATCAGGTGTGGTCCTCGAGCAGCGAAGAACCGTGCTACAGGCCGGGGCATGGTCTGTGGCTTCTAGAAAGCCTTTTGCCATGTCCAGTGTGTGGTGGATTTATTTCTATAATTGTTGTGCCTCTACCCAGGTCATGGGTATTTCTCCTTACAGAGGCTGCTCTGAGTATAAAGTCACACGCAATCTTTGCAGAGTGCGGGGAGGCAGTTGGAGCATCCTGAAGTCCTCAGGGGTGATGGGCCCAATGCTGTCCCTCGGCACTCCAGTACGGGATCTCTGTGCGGATCACGCCGCACCATTCCGAGGCCCACATTTCAGACAACAAGCCACTTCCCCAGCAAACAAACGTGTGCACCGCTGTGTGTGTTCGTATGTGTGGTGGGCGTGCATTTGTGCAAATGTGCATGGTGTTTGTAGGATGTGTCATGCATGTGTAAGCACATTTGTGCATGTGTATTTTCCTTGTTTGCATGTGTGTCATGAGCATGTGTGCACACGTGCGTATAAGTATGCGCCCGTGTTCTAAGGAGGCACAGGGCACTGGTGGAGCAGGTCAGGGGTCGCTTTCAGGGGTTGACACGTGCAGAACTGTCTGATCCACTGGCGAGCACGAGAGAGGTGCGCTCAGAGCAGGGACCGTCGCCTGCCGGCGTGGGAGGACCAGGACCAGCTCCCCGACCTGCCACCTGCGCAGATCCTCCTGCCACATGCTCCACCCAGAAAGGCAGCCGCGTGTGCGTGTTGTAGGGCACGAACGTTAGACTGAAGGGTTGAATCACATCATGTGGACACAAACCTTTGAAAGTAGTTGCTGATATTAAGCACAGGAAAATTTTAACTATCCTCTTCAAATTCACCTTGGAAGGCCATTTGTTCTGATTTTGCTGCCATTGTTCAAAGGATTCTCTTGGATTCTGTTTTGTTATCCAATACATTATTGCAGATTCTTTCCTCCTCCCCTCCTTTTTTCCTTGAGCTTTTTTTTAGTCTGAGTTTGCAGGGAGACCCGGTGCCCTCCACCGGTGGACCCTGACAGCGTCGCTGTGTGACGAGGCGGCAGCGTCACAGCCAGGGAGTTGGTCGCGGACACAGCCCGCTTACCTTGTGCGCATTCTGCCAGTTGTGCACGCACTCGTGTGTGACACTCGGTTCTCTGCAATTCGTCGCACGTGAGGGCTCACGTAGCCACCACTACGTCAGGGTGCGAGGCTCCGTCCCAGCGTCTGTCCTGCTGCCACCCCCTCCCCCACCTATCCTTAACCCTGCAGCCACTAATCTGTGCTCTGTCTCTGTCACTGTGAAATTCGAGAAATGCATGTAGGGGAAGCGCACACCGGGTGACCCTTTTCACTCAGCTCAGTTTCCTGGAGGGCGCATCGTCGCTCAGTTTGCAAGCTGATCGCCCAGGTCGTTGCTCGTATCGTTCTCTCTGTTCCCAGTGGGTATTCGCGCGGTCTGGATGTCTCAGGGTGTGTTTTACCTGTTCACCTGTCGAAGGACATCTGGGTTTTTTCCAGTTTTTGGCTTTTATGAATTAAGCGTCAGTGAATATTAGCGTACAGGTTTTTGCGTGAACATAAGGTCTTAGTGCCCCGGGAGTGGACTGCTGGGCCACCCTGTGACCCGTGAGCACGTGTCAGCCGTGAGAGGCTGCTGCTCTTTTACGGGGTGACCACACACCTGACGTTGGCAGCAGGGTGAGGACCCAGCCTCTGTCCTCACCAGGGCTTGCCTTGTCTTTTAGGCACCTTCAATGGTGTCAGAGTCTTATTATTAGACAGGGAATTTGAGTTTTGGAAATTTGAGTCTGGAGAATACAGTATGGTGAAGAATGTGTTTTGGGGTCGAATCACAAGGCCATCGTGGTGTTTTTAATTTGTTGCTTCCCTTCCTGGCGTGTGAAATTGGAGCTGAGAGCAGCGCCAGGAGACGTTTCTGAACAACCTGCCGCTGTCAGGTTGCACCCGACAGTGTCGCACGGCTCCCTGTGCTCAGGTCGGCCGCGGTGCACGTGCCTGTGGCTGGCAAGTGCCCTCAGCCCCAGGGAGCGGTGGCGGGCTCCGTTCTCAAGGCCTTTGCTTCTGCTTGTCTGGAGCCGTCTGAGCCTGAGCCAAGGCCCCGCCCCACCCAGTCTGCGTCAGCCCTGCAGCAAGCAGCTTGCACAGAGCTCACGGCGGCCCAGACCCTGCAGCTGTGGCCCTGTCGTGGGCTGGCGTGAGAGGGCCGTACAGCCTCGTGACCCAGTGTGTCCCGGAACACTCACTGGACGCGCTCCAGAGCCAGGCTGCCTGCAGAAGCCGATGCGGTCCGGCCTGGGGCCACAGGGCCCAGTTTCTTGTCCTCGCCCTGCAGACAGGGGGAGTAGGACCCCTGGAGAGCCACTCATTTCTCCAGATCAAGCGTACATCTCTGAAATGAGAACGGTGTCGCACAGTATCGCGATGGTCACGTACAGAGATCTCCACGTGGAAATGCGGTACAGGGCCCTGAAGGGTTGTATGAGGTGCCCTCACACCTCTTCCAGCCTGGTCGTCCGCAGCTCCGCATCTCGGGGACGGAGTCCCTGGCGAGTGTAGAGCAGCCGCCGCACACCGGCAGCTCAGGGGCTGTCTGATTAAAGAGCCGCGTGGCTTCGTGGCTCCGTGTCCCCACGTCCCCATGTCAGAGAGGTCTTTCTTAACCAGTCTCTCTAGAGTAATCATGTTCCCCCACCCTGAAACATTTTGCCATTTCACCCAGTTTCGTCTTTCTTCCAAACTGGAAGAAAGCTGTCACTGCCTGTCCCTCCCTGTCCCTGGCCACGCTTACGGTGATTTTCACCCGTGGACTCTGAGCCTCCCTCAGAAGCTCCTGGCC